CACTTTGGACTCCATCTCTCCAGCACCTTCTCTTTACGTAGACCCGCACATCTCTGAATCCCTCTCCACACCCTTTTTTAAAGAATTTTTTTTTCTGCAGAGTTTCTGTAGCCCAAAGTAGCCTCTAATTTACTCCCTTTGTAGTCCAAGCTGGCCTGGAACTCATGGAGATCATTCTACTGAGTCTTGGGGTTACCAAGCTTGTGCTCCTCGCTTGGCCATTCTCCTTTTCATCTTAGAAGTGCAAAACCCTAGTCCCCATCTCTAGGCCCCGCCCCCACGCCCCCATCTGCGGACCACCATTGGGTGTGGGCCTGGCTTCCGCAGCATCAGGGCGCGGCCGCCTGGTCCTGCCCCGCCCCTCTCGCTGCTGAGTCAGCGCTCTGCGCCCCCGCCCGCGGGAGGACGCCCCGGGAGTCCCGGGAGCCCCGAGGAGGCGGGCGGAGGGCGGCACTGGGCCCGCCCGCAGTTCTGGGTTCGGTGTGCGCAGGAGAAGCGGCGGCTGCAGGAGGAGATCGGCGCTGCGCGTCGCGAGCTGGAGGAGGAGAAACTCCGCGTGGAGCGGCTCAAGGTTGGGGGCTTCCGTCCAGCCGGGGCAATAAAGTGGGGTGTCTGTGTGAGTCTGGCTGAGAGACAATAGAAACCTCTGCCCAATTTGGGCAGGGGGAGATGGAGAGGAGACGGACGAAAGGTAGCCATGGAGACAGCTGCCCCACTCTGGAAGAGAGTATGGGGGGGAGGGGGATGGTGGAGAGCTTCATTCCACTTTGATGGTGCTGAGATGAACCTTAGGCCAACGTTGGGGAGGAGAGGGGTGCATTGGGAGGTCTTTCCGGGCCTGGCAGAGCCAGTCGACTGGGCAGGCTGGAAGGATAATGGTTGTATGCCTCTGCTTGGGAAGGCTGTATGCTGGCTTGGGTGTTGGGGGACGAGATATGGACATGTCTCCCATCCTGATGGATGTGCCCTCTGGGTGGTTGCAAGCAATGGGTGGGGAGTTAGGTTTCCTGTGGCTAGTCCAGGACTCCCGTCCCATACTCAGAGGAAATCTCTCCGAGAACGTTGGCTCATGGATGGGGTGGCTGAAGGGCCAGAGCGGCCAGAGGAACCTGCTTCCAAGGACCCACAGTCGCCCGAGGGACAGGCCCAGGCTCGAATTCGAAACCTGGAAGACAGCTTGTTTTCGTGAGTCGAGAATCCCTACTTTTGAGCCATGCTCCAGCCTTTAGCAGCCCTAAGAAATGGAGCAGGTTTGGTCCAGACCAGCTTCCAGCAGCCTCCTGTCTCCCACAGACTCCAGTCACAACTACAGCTGTTGCAAAGTGCGTCCACAGGTGCCCAACACAGACCTGCTGGCAGGCCCGCCTGGCGCAGAGAGGTGAGCGGGGACTGAAAGAGGTGGAGAAGAGGGGGCTGTGGTCAGCAGGGTTAGAACAGGACACAGCAGAAATGTGCTCTCTCGAGACGCATGTAGGCAAACCCACTCACTGTTACTTTGCTCTGTGCAAGTTGGTTGTCTAGTCTAGACCTTTGTTTGCTCAGCCCTAAAATAAGAATACCAACTCAGAAGTGCCTTTGGCTGAGTTCGAGGCCAGCCTGGTCTACAGAGTGAGTTCCAGGACAGCCAGAGCTATATAGAGAAACCCTGTTTAAAAAAAAAAAAAAAAAAAAAAGAAGTGCCTTTGGGAGGGCCAATGAGATTATGATTGAAAACAAGCCCCACTCTCGTGGTCTAAGACCTTGAACTCCTGATCTTCCTGCTCCTGCTTTCCCAGTGGTAGGATTACAGGCTTTCACCACCAGTCCTTGATCACAAACAGAATCCGTGTGCATGCAGGTGTGTGCAGCTGCCCGGTGTCTTTCTTCACATCTTTCCTTCACCCACGCTGGCCACATTGTCTCTTTTCTATTGCTTCCTTTAGCGTCTAGCTCACCCAGGCAGTACTGTATCCTTAGCCTGGACCAATGGTCTCCGGCTCAGCACTCTGGACAGGGCACACCCCACTCTGCGCCCAGCCCAGTCTCTAGGGGATACTTTGTCACCCCAGACCTCTGGGGCTTCTTCCCTTACACGGCTTCCTCTCTCCCCTCCCTGTTTGCAAATGCTGTGTGTTTATTGGTTATTATGTCTGTTACTTACCTCTGCCCACTGGACGTCTGACTGCATCAGGTTTTCTCAGGCTGAGGATATGGCTCAGCAGCAGCCCTGCGCTGGCCTAGTGTGGCCCAGGCCTTGGGTTCCATCCCAAGACTTCCATCCTCCCCCAGAATCCTTTCTTTATAGTCACCCCAGAAGCTGGCCATGCAAGCATTAGCATGGTATATTGTTTAAGCAGGTCAAACATACCTGGGAGGTAAAAACTGGGACCAATTTGACTTAGTCTCTGTTCTCCTTGCAGGGTCCCCGCCCTCTCTCTCAGCCTGCCATGGAGACAGGTCCTACAGGTAAGCATTGGAGTCCCCGAGGCCTGGGGTACAATCACCACCAGATGGTGTGATTCAAAAACGGGATAAGGGTCCTGTCATCCCCCCATTATCCTGACCTCCCTTGCTTCCCTCAGGCCCCACAGATGTGGACAAGAGAACTTCCCTACCAGATGCTCCAGTGGGCATGCCCCCTGAGTCTCCTTCTGATCCCAGGAAGGAGTCCATTGGGGTTCTACCAGCCTTGAGGCCATCCCCTGAGGCTATAGGGACATCTTCAGAAGCCAATGGCCCCTGCCCTGGGCACAGCCCCCTCTCAGAGCAGCTGAGTCTAGAGGTGTCGAGTGTCACTAAGGCCAAAGGAAATGGCTCGGTGGAGGTGGTTTGGGCTGGGCTTAGAGCCACTGAGAACAGTGCCACAGGCCCCACAGGTGTGGAGCTGGAGGCTAAGGTGGAAGAAGTGGTTCTAGAGGCCATTGGAGCCAGACAGGGCACCAGCAGCCCTGAACTCCCCACTTGGGTGAAGGAGGGCAGGGGTGTGGTGGAAGTGGTCTGGGAGGGGCTGGGAGGCGGGGATCTTGATGTCACAGGGGAGTCAGGCAGCGGTGCAGAGGCCATGCACACCAGACTCCAGGAGCAACTTGAGGCTGAAACTTGCAGAAAAGAGGAAGGTGCCTCCAGAAATAGTCCTGAGAGTATTGGGCAGGGAGGTCCTGGAGTAGAGGAGGGATCCTTCATTTGGGTGGAGAGAGTGGCCCTCAGCGAAGACTGGGAGGAGATCCTGATGGAGGGGTTGGAAGCACCCCCAGCGGCTGCAGGAGGGCCTGAGGCTTTGATGGGAAAACAGCTCAGAGGAGGTGAAGCATCCTGGGAGGTGGAAAAGAGAGATGTGGAGAAAGTGGAGAGCAGAGAAGAGAAGGGAAGGGAGGAAAAGCTCGGGGCAGAGAGGGAGGATGCAGCAGCTGGACTCCCAGATGCAACCCAGGGAAAAGAGGAAAGCGAGGCAGAAAGGGTAGAGAGAAAAGACGGTGAGGGCCCCTTTCCAGTAGAGGGAGCAACAGATGAGGAAAAGCGGGAAGTGAAAGTGAAGAAAGATGAAGAGCCATTGGAAGTAGAAAAGAAAGGTGAGGAGGAGCCTGCCACCACTGAGAAGCCATTGGTGGCAGAAAAACAGCCAGAGGACTCGTTGGAGACAGAGAGAAAAGGAAGTGAGACGCCATTGGACCAGGAGAAAGATGGTGAGGGCTCATTGGACAGAGAATCAAAAACAACCGAGATACTATTGGATGGAGAGACAGGAGGTGAGAGCTCATTGAATGAAACTAAAGGAAGCAAGAAACTATTGGATGAGGAGACAGGAAGTGAGGGCTCATTGGATGAAGAAACTAAAGGAAGTAAACTATTGGACAGGGAGGCAGGTGGCAGCGAGCCATTCTCTGAGGTGGATAAGACCTCAGGCGCCAAGGATGATGTGAGTCCCGAAGAGCAAGGCAAATCCAATGAAGGAGCAGAGTTTCAGGCGGAGGATGCCAGCCAGCCAGGAGCCACTCTTTGTGTCCAGGAGGAGCCCAGATCAGAGGAGGAAGAACTGCAAGACCCGGAGAAGCAAGAAGGCTCGCTAGAAGAGGCAGCCAATAAGCCTCAGCCCTGTACTGAGAGTGAGGGTCCCTCAGGGGATGCCAGCCCGCTCCTAGCTGAGACTCCAGCCCCGGAGCAGCCTGTGGAAAGCCAGCCACTGCTCCGTCAAGAAGTGTCCAGCACCAACCCTGGTGACCATCCTGCACCTACGTATGCACCTGCCCAGCAGCTTGAGCTAGCTGAGGCCAAAGAAGCTAGTGGCCCCAAGCAAAAGACGTGCCAGTGTTGTGTGGTCATGTGAGCCTACACCTGCCGCCCAGCACCCCACCTCCTCTCACAGCTACCTCGCTGCCTGGCACCCAGCAGAAGGTCCCAGGCATAGACAGGGTACCATAGGACTGGTAGTGGCACCCAGGAGCCAGCAGGCCCTGTGCTTACTTACACCTGGGCTTTTAGATTCCCTGCCCACTGCCTGTGGCCCTGACCCCCTTCTGCAATGAAGCCTTTATACTTGAAGATTAAATGTTAAGGCACCCTGGCTTTAAGAAAAGAAAAGATTTATTTATTTATTATTTATCTCTTTTTTTTTTAAGTGTGTGAGTGTGTTGTCAGTGTATAACCATGTGGGTGCAGGGCTCGCAGAAGCCAGAAGAGGGCATTGGATTCCCTGGAGTTACAGGTGATTCTGAGCTGCCCTGTGGGTGCTGGAAACTGAACCTGGGTCCTCTGCCAGGGCAGGGAACTGAACTTTGGTCTACTGCAGGAAAACAAGGGCCCTTAATTGCTTCAGGCCCTTGAACGTGTCTTTGGAATCACCCCGTCATAGCCTGCTTGGAAGTTGATCTTACTAGAATCAGAGGCTGTGACTGGATGAGATGACACACACCTGTAATCCCAGCACCGGGGATACTGCAGCAGGAGAATCACAAGTTTGAGGTCAGCCTTGGCTGTCTATCAAGCCTCTGACCCAATGGGGAAATAACAACACTAGGCATTAATTCTTCTGCATTAACAAACTGATGCCCAAGACACAGAGGCAGGGAAAACGTCGTTTGGGCCGGGAGGCACTCGCCTTTCTGTTCAGTCCTTGGGAGGCAGAACCAGGTGAGTCTGTGAGTTCCAGGCCAGCCATAGTGAGATCCTGTCTCAAAAAACTAAAAATAAAAGAAATCTAACCCAAGATAGGGATATAGCCCCCAGCCTGAAGCAGAACAGGCTAGAACTTGGGGGCTGACGGCCTCAGAAGGCCTAGCTCCTCTGGCGTGGGCAGGAAGTGTTTCTCATACCCAGAGCAAAGTGGGGCAGAGGTTTTAGGGGGCTCCACAACAGGCTGTAGCTCCATCTCCTCCACCTCCAGGATGGGTCCGTCCTTGAGTGGTTGGGGCAGGCTCACCTCCTGGGGAGATGGAAACTTGAAACTAAGTGGTCCTCTGCTCGCATTGCCCCAGCATCCTCCATTTGGAGAGTGGTACTCCCACAGACGGCGTTTTCTCACCTTTATGTAAGGTTGCCCAGAATTGCTGTTGGCAGGGTCAGGAACCCTCTCCCACATCCACTGGGGAAGCAACTTGTGTCGCTGGTGTAAGGACCTGGCCAGCAGGGACCCGGTGGCAAACATATTGCTAGAATCCATGAACTTTCTGAGCCCCGAGGCCACCCAGCCAAAGCCTAGCTGCTGAACCCCATGTCTGACAGCCTTACCTGGTACTGGCCAAGTTCAGGGCACAGCCCATCAGAAGTAAGCCCCACAAGGACAGAACCCAGGGCAGAATTTTCCACCTGATCCTATTGTCTGTGGGTGGGAAGAATAGTTGGGACTAAGTAGACAGCCATCTTGAACAAGGGGTCTGTGAGTGGGAGGGGCTTTTCAGTGGGTGGGGCTGAAGGTATGGTTATCCTGAAGAAAGAATGGGGTTTCCAGTGGGTGGGGCTGAGAGGGTTCAGCCATCATGAGGAAGGGATGAGTCTTAGGGCACAGGGGTGTACTACTGACAGGCAAAGCCAGGTTTGGGAGTGCTGCTATCCCAAACATACATCGTTGGATACTACAGCAGCATTTAGCAGAAGCAGACCTGGGTGTGGTCCTGGGTTCCATCCTAATCCTCTCCTTCATCGGGGCTTATCCACCACCGAAACCCCTGTTATGACTTCAAGACACCCCTGGCAGGAAGTGGGCAGGCATCTCCCCTTTCCCAGCTCATACCTGGTAGGTGAAGCGAGAGGCTGGGACCAGGTGGGCCCTGTCCTGCAACAGTGGACACCATCACCCACAGCTTGATGGAACCCGCATGAAGGTTGGGCAGAGTAACAGTCTGGGTTTGACTGCTCACTGAAAGACACAGCCAAAGAAGTTGGGGTAAGCAGTGAAATCATGCCCCAGGGTCTTTGCACAGGCTCTTTCCTCTCTGCAACTTTCCACACAGCTCTGTCCTGGTTGTCCTTATTTACTTGTGTGGCATTTTATGATTTTTAGGGGGGCTGCCCCATAGACATGCCATAGCACACATGCTGAGGTCAGAGGGCACCTGTTCTCACCATCCATCCTACCATAGAGGTCTTGTGCTTTGTGGGAGGAGGGGCTTTAGTTGGTGAGCTTTCCCATAGCCCCCGGTCCCCTGTAAATGTTCAGTTGTCACTTCCTTAACTAATCTTCTGACCCCCTCATTTTAAACGAACCCCCATTTTGTACACAGCTCTAATCACCACACGGCATTCTGATTAGATGTTATCGCATTTGTTTACGACTCAAACCTTCTGTTGGGAAGTCCGCTCCTGAGCTGCCCTGAGTGCTTGCCTCCAGTTACTAGGCCCTGAGTCTGATTTCCAGCCCTGAAGACTGGGGGAGAGAAAGCACCGGAAAGAAACAGTCAAGAGAACAGAAGCATGAGCCTGTCCTTCCAGCTCCTCAGAATGCAATTTCTAGGTCAGGTTGAGACCCTGCCTCAACAAACAAACAAAAAATTAAAGTGTAGAGCCGGGCAGTGGTGGCACATGCCTTTAATCCCAGCACTTGGGAGGCAGAGGCAGGTGGATTTCTGAGTTCGAGGCCAGCCTGGTCTACAGAGTGAGTTCCAGGACAGCCAGGGCTACACAGAGAAACCCTGTCTCAAAAATCCAAAAATAAATAAATGAATAAGTAAATAAATATTACAGAATTTGTAGCAGAATTTGGTCATCTGCAAGGGGAGATGCTGAGGTTATGGAGTCACTCCCCAGGGTGAGTTGGTTTCTGTTACTTTGTTACTATGTATTTTCTCTATGTGTGTTGATGGCTTATGTAGAGGTCAGAGGACAGCTTGTAGTTGCTTCTCTCCCTCCACCATGTGGGTCCAGGTACTGAACTCAGGCTCTCAGACTCAACATCCGGACTATTAATCTGGTGAGTCATTTTACAGGCCTGTAAGTCAAATTTTGTAACAAGGTCAGATAACTTTTATAGTTTCGAGGACAAGAACAAGGATTTGGTTTCTTCAGTCATGGCGATAAAACCCAAAGGCTCGTACACAAAGAACACTTGCTCTACTGTGGAGCCACGTCCCAACCCCATGCCAGGGGATCCTAGACAGGAACTCAGCGCTGAGGTACCATCCAATAACAATACTTAAAAAGAACAAATGTTCTTTTAGATTGTTTCTTATGTGTGTGGGTGTTTTGCCTGAATGTTTGTCTGTATACCACATGCATTCTGTGCCAATGGAGGCCAGAAGACACCGTCAGTTACTGGGACCGGAGGTGGCTGCAAGCTGCCAAGTGATGCTGGGAACCAAACCCCTGTAAGAGCAGTCAGTGCTCTCAACAGCTGAGCCTCTCTCCAGCTCCGGGAGTCTGTCTCAAGGGGTACAGAAGGAAATGAAAGTCACATGCAGTCCTTTAACTCCTGTTGATGTGAGGGAACATTCTTTGTATATTTACACCTTGGCTTTGCTCGAAACTGGATATCTTCTCTCTCTCTCTCTCTCTCTCTCTCTCTCTCTCTCTCTCTCTCTCTCTCTCTCTCATCAAAAACAAAGCCATCTAAGAATATGTAATCCTCTCTATATTTTTCAGTTGTGTGAAATATGACAGGTATTCATCACTGTCAAGTACAGTCTGGAGGCTTCCTCTTTACTGTATCTGTAAGCCCATTTTAGTGGGAGCCAAGGTTGTTACTGCCCTCTGGGACCTTGGTGACATAGAATCCCCAGGAGCTGGGAATGTAGAGCAGGGTGGATGAGAGGTGGGTCTTAGGGGATCGAGGGAGGAAGAGGAGGCATGGGGCTCACCGTTTGTGCAGACTGTGGGGATACCTCTGCTCTGTGTGCAGACGGTGTAGTGAGTAGCCTGGCCTCGGAGCTGGTGTCTTGGTACCACTCCCCATGTAACAACAGGTGTCCCTGGGGGGTCATCTCGGAGTCTCCAAACTGCTGGCCCAGCAAGGGGTACTGTGAAGAAACCCAGAGCGTCAGTATCTATTTCAGCTCCATGAGCCACCCCCACCCTTCATCCTCCTGCACCATCTTACCTAATTGCTTTATGAATCCCCAAACTGAGGGTGCAGCAGCTAATCCTCCAGAGTATACTGCAGTCACTGTAATTCGATAGGGGACCCCTCCTTTGAAAGCCCCTGGGAGGAATAGAAAGAAGAGAACATTTACAGCTGGTTCCCCCACCCCCACCCCGTCACCACCATGCAGTGCCTACTTGTGGGAACTGTCCTTTGGGCCCCTGGGGGAGGCTACTCCACAGAATCAATGAGACTGGATGGATAGACAAGCAAGCTGTAAACAGCTCAGGAAAGGACAGGTCCTGGTTGTGTGCAGTGACTTGTACCCGTGGAGACAAGGCTGAGGCTGGGCTACACAGAGAGACCCTGCCTCCAAGAACCAAACACGGGGACTGAGGATGTGGCTTGGCTGGGAGAGCGCCAGACTGGCATCCAGGAAGCCCTAGTTGGGTCCTCAGGAAAAGCATATGTTCTGATCATTGAGCCATCGCTTCAGAACTTTATTTTATTTTTTTGATACAAGATCATACTATATAGTCCTGGCTGGCCTTGAACTCACAGAGATATGTCTACCTCAGCCTCTTGAGTGCTAATTAAAAGCACAAGCCTGGAATGCCATCACTTGAAGGGTGAAGGCAGGAGGATCAGAAGTTCAAGGTCATCCCTGGTTAGTGAATTCAAGGCCAGCCTGGGCTACATGAGACCATTTGGAAGGAGAAAGGATAGAGTAATAAAATGATAAAAAATAAAATAATACCGGGGTTATGTGGGTGGAGTACCACACGCCTTTAGTCCAGCCAGGGAATCTGTACTATTTCAAAATGAAAAAGGAGCTTGAGAGACGCTCCAAGGATAAGAGCATTGGCTGCTCTTCCAGGGGACACAGATTCATTTCCCAGCACCCCCATGGCAGCTCACAACTGTCTGTAGTTCCAGTTCCAGGGGATCTAGAACCCTTTTTGGGTTCTACATGCTACAATGCTACACATGTAGCTGTGTAGCTGCAATTCCAGGTGTCCCTGGTAACTAAGTACTGTATGCACTTAGTACATACGTTCAGGCAAAGTACATAGACACACACACACACAAACACACACACACACGAATAAGAAGCATGCTTTTAATACCAGCCCTCAGGAGGCAGAAGCAGATTCTATGAGTTCAAGGCCACAGCCTGGTCTATAGAGTGAGTTCTAGGGCAAAAAGAAATACTCCTGTCTCCAAAATAACCTAGAATAAGGAGCCAGGTGTGGTGGCACACACCTTTAATCTCAGGACTTTGGATTTGAGCCTTATCTGGCTTCCTGTGTCACCAGGTGGATCTCTCTCTGGCCCAGATTTGCACTACCACACTGTAGCCAGAAAGTGACCAAAGTCAGCAGATGTGGCACCGTGTGTTCTTGGTCCTCCAAAACTGTAAGCTACACAAATCTCTTATAGGTGTCCAGCTCCGGGTATTTTTTTATAGCAATGGCACATGGGATCCCAGGTGTCTCAGGGTCTAACCTGGTAACAAAATGCTGAGGTTTCCAGGGGGAAGATGGATCCAGTTGATCTTGTCCAGACTGTCGCCATCTTGAGCCCAGTCCACTACGTACTCCCACGGTCTCCTGGTCCCTTGTTTCCAGGTCACCTTCATCCCTGGGCTCCCATCAGTACTGCTGACTCTCACATCAAGGGGGGCAGATTCTGGAGCTGGAAGTAGAAGGAAACACCTTGAATGTTCATTCAGAAAAGCTCTTGGCCCCCAAAGTACTAGACAGAAGAGTTCTATGCTGTTTTACCCAAGCACACTAAAGACAGGTTAGTGGGAGGCGCCCAGCTGGTGCTGTTGCCAGTAGAGACCACTGCCCACTCCATCCCTGCAGGGATGGGGGATCTGCAGCATGGGACCTCTTCTTGAGTTGTAGTAGTATCTCCAACCCCAAACCAGACTGTGTAAGTCACCTGCACACAGGGTCCCGGGTCCTGAAGGGGAGGAGAAGTTGTGGTTAGTGAACCCCCATTTTGTGGAGTACCCACTGTTTATGATGGCAAGCCATCACTGTTAAGTCAGGCAGCCTGGCAGCATCCTATGGATGTAGACACTGAGTCTTGGAGAAGTTTACTGGGATTTATAAAGTAGGACTGGGAAGGGAAAGGGGATGCCCCAGTGAGTATGAAGTTTAAGGAGGAGCCTGGTTTGCTAGTCCATATCTGTAACCTCAGTACTCAGGAGTCAGAGGCAGAACAAGTTGACACAAAGGCCAGTCCGGGCTACATGTAACCCTGTCTTAAGGAACAAAAGTAGATCTATAGCAAGCAAGATACCAACTTTATATAAAGACTGCTTTGATCCTGCACCTACTGGCCATGCCGTGTTCTGCTTTATGATCCTGTTGAGTAACGGTCAGACCAGGCTTAAACAACAACCAAACCAAACCCGACCCGACCCAACCAGACCCGACCAGACCAGACCAGACCCAACCCAACCAAACCAAACCCAACCAAACCAAACCCAACCAAACCAAACCCAACCCGACCCAACCCGACCAGACCAGACCTGACCCGACCCGACCAGACCAGACCAGACCAGACCAGACCAGACCCAACCCAACCCAGCCAAACCAAACCAAACCAGACCAAACCCAACCAAACTCAACCAAACCAAACCACCTGGTCCGGTCCTGGCAGTTGAGTTTGCTGACATTTTTTTTGTTTTGTTTTGTGTTTTTTTTAAAGTACTTCTATCTAGGGCTGGGGAGATGGCTCAATCAGTAATGTGTTTGCTGTGCAAGCAAGCATAAGGATCTGCGTTCAATCCCCGGCGCTTGTAAATGCCAGACACGGTGGCATACTTGAAAACTCAGTGCTATAGAAGTGGAGACAGGTGGATCCCTGCGACTCACTGATCAGCAAGCCTACTTTGTTTGAAAAGCTACAGGAAAAATGAGAAAGCATGTCTCAAAAAACATGGTGGTCAGAGCCTGAGGAAAGGCAGCGTCCTCTGGCTTCTTCACGTACACACTTCTAAACATGTATGAACACACACATGCACATACACAAATGTTGATCTTTTTCAAGATTTTGTGTGTGTGTGTGACTGTGTATGAGTATGTATGTGTGAATGTGTGTGTGTGTGTGTGTGTGCACATGACTTCAATACCCAAGAAGCCAGAGGATTCCCTGGAACTGGAGTTACAAGCAGTTGAAAGCAGCCTAATGTGGGTGCTTGAACCAAACTCATGGACATTTATCTGTGTGTGTGTGTGTGTGTGTGTGTGTGCACTCATGGAAGTCAGAGGACAACTTTTCAGTAGCTGGTTTTCTCTTTCCACCTTGTTTAGAGTGGGGGGTCTCTCTTCCTCTTCCAGCTGTTGTGCTGGCAGGCTAGCTGGTCCAGAAGCTAGGTGACTGTCTCCATATCTCCTACCAGAGGAGTGGTAGGACTGTATACCACGACATCCAGATGATGATGATTATAATAACTGTTACTTTAAGATTCATTAGCCAGGCATGATGACACACGCCTTTAATCCTAGCAGGTGAATCTTGAGTTCAAGGCCAGCCTGGTCTACAGACTGAGTTCCAGGACAGCCAGGGCTACACAGAGAAACCCTGTCTCAAAAAAAAAAAAAAAAAAAAAAAGGATTTGTTTATATCCTTTTTGAGTGTAGGAGTGTTTTGCCTACATGTATGTAAGTACATCCTCAGAGACCAGAAGAAAGCGTTGGACCTCCTGGAACTGGAGCTACAGACAGCTGTGAGCTGAGATGTGGGTTCTGGAAGTTGAATCTGGGTCACCTTCAAGAGCAGCCAGTGCTGAGCCATCTCTCCAGATCCACATCCAGCTTTTTACATGCTTCCTGAGGTTGAATTCTTTCATTCAAGTTTGCTTTACTCCCTTGTCCTCTGACCTCCACGAGTGCATGCACCCGCACAAGTGCACACATGCGAGCACACACACACACGATCTCACGAACAGAAGGCTGGCCTCAAACTCTCTCTATAGGCCAGGATGGCCTTGAACTGTCAGTCCCTGGCTCCCTTGCTTCTGGTCCCCACTGTTAGAATTCCAGCCGCATACTATCACATCTGGCTCATGCAGTGCCCTGGATAGAATTCGTGACCTCGGACGTTCTGGGGAAGCTCTACTTCTGGGCTGCATTCCAGCAGGACCTAAGAGCTTTGAAACATTGATTAAGGGCTCCTGCCCTGCTGCACACCTCCGGCTCCCTCCCCTGTGGCTTTGTAGCTTCCTCCCCAGTGGAAAGGTACAAGGATGAGACTGTGTAATAATTTAAATGATTCCAGCAAACTCTAGCAGGGCACACAGTATTTAACACCTTCAATACCACCACTTAGGAGACAGAGGCAGGTGGATCTCTGAGTCAGAAAGCATAAATGTACACGCACGTACATTTACACACGTATACACACATATATGCTTTTGCATGCATGAATACACTTACACACCTGCATGTGTGCATGCACATGTGTATACATACACTCATGTGCACGCATCCACATGTGTCTACACGTACACATGCACAATAAACACATGTGGAACTAGATGGAGAACTCGTGTGGCTCAAGAATCATGGTATGTTTTATTCCTTGCAGAATTCAGACATACCCAGCAGATGTTCAACAGAATTTTTTTTCAGTGCTGAGTGTGGACCCTGGGACCTCATACACTCTTACTAAGAATTCTGTCACCGAACCCCCCTTTAAGACTTTTTGTTTAGCCAGGTGGTGGTGGCGCACACCTTTAATCCCAGCACTTGGGAGGCAGAGGCAGGTGGATTTCTGAGTTCGAGGCCAGCCTGGTCTACAGAGTGAGTTCCAGGACAGCCAGGGCTACACAGAGAAACCCTGTCTAAAAAAACAAAAAAAAAAAAAAAAAAAAAAAAAAAAGACTTTTTGTTTTTCAGACTACGTTTACCTGACTTTGAACTCACTCTGGCTGGTCTTGAACATGCAATCTTCCTGCCTCGATCTCTTGAGCAGCTGGGATCACAGGTGTGGACCACTTTAAATCAGGAAGGCTAGGATACCCTCTTCTACTATCTGTTTGACAGCAGCGCAGGAGCTTCTAGTACATGTGTTGCACTGAGATCATGTCCTGATTCTAGACCTTCATATCTTCTGTCTTCTACCTGGGACTCTGGCTCCCACCCGACACACCTCTGATCTTCCACAGGCTGGTGGTATTGGTGGAGACCCCACGCCCTCCCCACTCGCACAAGGAGCGCTGCAAGAGAGCTATGCAATCCAGGAAAAATCCTCCAGGGGGCAGCAGAGGAAGCCATTGCTGCTGGTTCCCAGGCCCAGCCAAGAATTATCTTTGGACATATGGCTCACCTTCCAGACAAGCAGGGCTGCCCGTTTGCCAGATGTTTCACAGACGGTCCCCGATACCCACACATCTTCAGGAGCTGATGAGGATGAGGAAAGACAGATGCAGTTAGATGAACAAGGATGCCTAGCCTGTGGTGGGCTGAGGCCCAGAAGTACAAGACAAAAGGAGCCGTCCTCACCCAAGAATGGGGTCTGGAAGGACAGGTCCGGGCCCCACTCGCCCCACGGATATCCGTTCTCCACCTGGCAGCGGCCGGACACCTGGTAACTGGTGCCAGGTTCCAGGTTCTGCATCTCAACAGGAGTCAGCAGGTCTGTCTTCAGCTGTGGCTCCAGCTGGGGAAACAAATGGGATCGCCCTCTGCTGAGAAGACTTTTTTCTTCTTTTTCCAAAGCTGTGACCCTGGGTCTGGTCTGACACAGGCTAGGCAAGTCCTCTATCACTGAATTACAGGAAGTCCTGTGTGTGTGTGTGTGTGTGTGTGTGTACAGATGGTGTGTGTACAAATGTTGGTGTTAAGTATCTTCCTCTGTTGCTCAACATCTTATTCTTTTTAAACTTTACGTATTATTGTGTCTATTATATGCATAGGGAGGGGTCAGAGGACAAGTATACAGTCAGTTCTCTCCTGCTACCTTTGTGTGGTTCCAGAAATCGAACTCAGGTGGTAAAGCTCTTGTGACCACGCCTTTCTCCACTAAGTCATCTCCCTCGTCCCTCACTTTATTTTCTGAGCCAAGTCCCTCGCTGACTCTGGAGCTCACTAACTTGTTAGACTGGATGGTGGCTTCGTCCTGAGAGCTGCCTGTCTGCCTCTGCTGAGGTTACATGGTGCCACCATGCCTGTCTCTTCCACTAGGTGCTGGCACCACACTCTGGATCTGACGCTGTGTCTCAGGTGTTTACTGAGCATCTCCCAGCCCCAGCCTGCGCTCTGGCTGTTTTATTTATTTCCTTTCTTGAGACAAAATTTTAACTGATTAAGAAACCCAAACAGGCCAGCTGTGGTGCTGCACACTGTCACTCCCAAGGTAGGAAGCAGAGTCAAGCAGATCTGTGAGTTCCAGGCTAGCCAGGATCACACAGTGCCCATCCCCCAAAGCTACTTGGGCAGTGTCTAGGGGTGGCAATGAAACCCAGCCATCCTGGCGCTCAGGAAGCCGAAGCCGAGGATCAGGGCTTTGAGACCAGCCTAGCTACATAGCCAGACTCTAGCTCAAAAAATAGGAAACAAATGAACAGAGTTGCCTCCGAGGCCTTCTATGTGGGACTTGGGGTGACTCCATGACAGGGGCCAAATGAGGCTGTGCGCTGTAGGATTGGGGTGCTGTCCCATCCCCTGGAGATATGGTGGGAAGGAAGCCCGGGCACTCACCTGGGTCCACTTTTCAGCCTTGCATTCCTTGTGCCGGAACTGACAGATGAGAACTTTATGCGGTGGCCACACTGGTGGTGCCCACTGCACAGTGGCTTCCAGGGTTGCTTCCTTAGAAATGTCCACATGAGAGAAGATCTGGGGGGCACCTGGCTTTACTGCAAAGGGGAGGCCAGAGTGCACTGAGCTAGGGCCTTCACACACACACCCGCACTACGCCTCCCCGCCCCACGCTGTGTTACTTTGGGTCTCCAGGTTCACAAAGACAGGGGACCAGAGACGACGTCCCTCTTGCGTCCCCCAGATGAGGAGTTTGTCAGCCACGGTGAGCTGTTCTCGGGGAATAGTCACCCAGCTCTGTCTGGAAGGCACCTTTACCTCCTGGGTTCTATTGGGACGGCTGTGAGGAAAGATTGGGGAAGAGACACCTGTTGGCACAGCCTAAGCCACAGGCTAAACTGCCATGCTCTGCTGGGGTTTCAATCCCTACTCTTATGTCAACACTGTGTGGCCTGAGGTGAGTGACTTAACCTCTCTGTTCTTCTTCAAAATGCAGTACACATACATTCTGAAAGAACTCAATAGTGGACCCGGTGACTGACAGTTTACACCTGTCATCCCACCACAGGCGAAACAAAAGCAGGATTGTTAGAGGCCAGCTTCACACAATGAGACCGTGTCTCAGTGAACATGCTGTCCTCCACTGCTCCCCTCAAAGCACTTTTTGTTTGTCCTTTACTTAGAGCAATTGAAATGGAGTTTGCAGACACACTTTCCCCTGGACCCTGTGCCCCGAACCCCACCCCCACCAGGACCCTGCACCCCGAACCCCACCCCCACCAGGACCAGCTTTCACTGTTGTGATTACAAGCACTAGGCTGATTTGGGGGGGGGGGGCGGGGAGACAGTTTCTTATAGCCCAGGCTGATCTCAAACTGGTTGTGAAGCTGAGGTCGGCTTTGAACTCCGGATCTCCTTGCCTCCATCTCCCAAGTACTGGGGTTACAGGTGTGTGTCACCATGCCGGCTTAGACTGGTGTGTTCACATAGTGAGCTAAACTGCTCAGAGAAGTCAAGTTATCTGCCCGATGTTGTACAACGACATAAACCTGCTGAGCGCTTTTTCTCTGCCATGTGCCTACCGCGTCCATCAATCAAGGGAGGCGTGTGTCGCCATTACTGTGGGGGTGGGGGCTTAAAGAGGGAAAGTGACTAGATCCGAGTTATGCAGTAAGGGACTGAGTGGGCTAGCTTGAGGGGCTTGAGAGTATGCAAGGACTCCCCAGTAGCTGGACTGAGGGGTGGGGGGTGGGTAACCAAAGTCACTCGAAATCTGTGTGGCCACTTTCCGTGCCTCAGTTTCCCCTAGACCACTCCTGGGTACTCACTATTTCTGACTCTGGTGATACAGCACAAGCGGAGTCTCCAGGTCGCCCAGAGGTTCCCAAGAGCAGTTCAGGATTCCCAAGGGGCCGACGCTGTAGCACTGCAGTGGGCCCGGACTGCCTGCAGGGGCGCAGAGAGCCGAGAGGACCGTGGTCAAGGTCCCGGGGCCTGAACTTGCCGGACTGTGGATGCGTTCATCCTCCCCGACTGCGGACCAACAGTACCGGAGCGCAGGGCCCAGCACGTGCTGGGATGGCGCAGAGGGATCCCAGTCCCCTTTCAGTACTGCTACATCCTGTTGTCGCCCAGTCCCCGATGCCCTACAACTGTGACCCCGAGCCAGCCACTCACGAAGCTGCTCACCGTGGGGCCGCGTCCCGAGCAGCAGCGGTAGCAGCGGCAGCAGAAGCTCCAAAGGCTTGAGGCTTGCAACCCGGAGTCCGCTCATGGCTCTCAGGACAAGTGACACCGCCAGGCCTGGGGCTTACAGCCTGCGGGAAGGAAGCCACCCCGCCCCTGGCGGGAAGTCCCCAAATCCGCCCACCCCCCAGCAATGATACGCACGCGTACAAATGCTCAGAACTGAACCTTTATTTTGTGTAGTGGGGAAGTCTGAGTACTGGGGACCTGGTGCCCTCAGTCCTGGGGTCTACGACAGAGTGCTCTGGTTTTGGGACTTAAGGGAGAGGAGCAGGGAGCAGGTTGGCTAGGGACAGTGACGGCAATTAGGGCAGGACGGAGGGCGGGCGGTGGGGTGGGGGGGAGCCCAGTTTGGGTAGTTGGGCATCTGGTTGCTGCGGGGCTGCTGGGGGTGAGGTTGGGGCGGGGAAGAACTCAGCCATGAAAAACAGGTTTCTGTTTGGCCGGATAGGGGAGTGGCCCGCAGCCAGGTGGGGAAAGGTTGACACGCAGTGTATTGTGTGCGTCTTGGCAGGGGGTCTGTAAGGAGACAGGGGACCCCTCAATGCCTTGCCAGTAGGAATGCTCGTAAACATCGCACGGCTGACGGCAGGTTGGAGGCCCGCTTCCCCATCGCTCATCCCGGATCCTAGCACAAGCTGCTAATTTGGCTCTTGCTGCAGCCCCACTCGCAGCAGCTGCTGGAGAGGCCGGCCAGTACATCCCTGCTGCCCCGAACCACTCCTGGAGACCCTTGCCAGCTGGATCGACCACCATAGAAGGCCTGGGGGGATTTGGTCAGGGCCATCCACTCGCTGGAGCCCACCGCTTCGTCCAGTTCGCTGGCCAGGTGGTCTGTATTGGCTTCTCCATCAGGGAAGAAGTCTCCTGCAAAAGCAAAGAGAAGAATCAGGGTTCAGTCTGCTAACATCTCTGGTCTGGAGGATCAAGGTTGTTCCCCTCGAGGGTTCAAACGCTGCCTCTGTTGTCAGTTTCCGTGCTAAGCCGCACTTCCCTGTCACAGATTCCATGCTATTCTTTAGTTAATGTGGACAGGGTAGATGAAAGCACGCATTTGGGAGCTAGGCTCCCTAAATCAGAATTGTAGATGAAATTATGTCTTCTCCCTCCTAGGCTCAGCTTTCTTTTCCACAAAGCTGGGGAGAAGGAGGAGAGATGTTAATAACTCTTACTTTTTTTTGGTTTTGTCAGGACTGGGAGACTGGATGCCAGCAAAAGCACAGTACCATCAGACACAAGGAGCACTCAGGGGAACACTGATCCTTTATTGACCGTCTTGTTTTCTTTAACGTCTCCCGGCCTCTCAGTGACAGCTACTGAGTTTGCTGCTATTGCTGCCACCCACTATCTAATTGCGACCCGACTCCTCATCAGGCTTATATGAGGTCACAGCCATTTGGCCATAGAGCTACCATGTTAAGGCAAGCACACTCCTACCTGTGTATGCGTCTACCATCCATCTGTCCGTCCATCATTCACCCACACAGCTCTGCTTTCATCATCACCATCCTCCCTTCCCTCCACCCTCCCCTCCCTCCCCTGCCACCACCATTTTTTGGTTTTGCTCCTTTTTTTTTTTTTTTTTTGAAACAGAGTCTCAGGCTGTCTTTGAATTCATGATCATCCTGCCTCAGCTTCCCGGAGTGTTAAGATTCTAGTCATGTGCCACCAAGCCCAGTATGTCATCATTTGCCTTGCTCTAAGGAGCTGCAGTCTCCTGATTGGCCTCCCGCTGCTCCAGCCACGCTAAACAGCCTGCCCTGTTAAAGAATTCGGCAAGGTCTCAGCCACTGTGTCTCTATTTCACCAGGAACAGTCTCTGCAGGGGGTAGCAAGGGCTAGAGGGGCCAGAAGGTGGCAAAGTCAAGCCCTGTGCCCAGCATCCCGCTCCCTCTCGGCCTATGGATAAAATGCTGCTGCGCCCTCACTCGCAGTGAGGCACCCAGGCACCTCAGGGGCAGCGACACCTCTGGGTAGTGTCATGCCACACACAGTAAAGACTCAGGAAAGGGTGGCCTAATGCCACCCCTGCGTCTAAGCTCAACGCCGCAATTGTGCCATCCTGGACCCGGGGACGCTTAAAGGCCAGGCAGAGGGGTTCCTACTGTGCGTGGCTAGTCAGGGACTCTATTCTTCTTTTTGTTTTTTCCTTTGATTTTTTTTTTTTTAAGGCTGAGTCTTACCCTGTAGCCCAGGCTGCCTTTAAATATGAGTTTCTTCTGTCACCACCTCCCAAGCTTGGAAGTTCAGTGTGCACCATGCCTGGCCCACACAGCCTCTCTTTTGACTCTGTGCCCACCAGGACACCTGTTCCAGGTTGATTGCCCTCCTTCCCCACTCACCCAGAGAGTCCTGGGCCAAGATGTCTGCCCGGCGCCACCGTGAGCCCCCGCAGGTGAAGATGACCGCGCGGATGAACTCCCGACCGCAGAGCTTCACTCCGTAGGGCGCCGGCCTCGCCTGGGCCTGCAGCCCCAGAGCCCCGAGAAGGAGAGCCCAGGAAGCCAGCAGCAGCAGTCCGCGCGTTCCCATGATCAGCTGAGATGCCTACGACTCAGGTGGCTCTGTCTGCACCACCTCGGATCCCCTACTTATACAGGCTGGCTCCCAGCCCCGCCCGCTGACCTGGGTTATCTTCTGAGCAGAGGGGAGGCAGTTGGCAACCTGACCTTTACCATCTCCTTGCCAAGAGATAACCTTTCACGCAGACAGGGTGACATGGCTCAGGTCTCTGTCATCTTCCACACCGGAGCACGTTTCCTGCTTCAGTCTACTACTAAGTTTCGGGATTATAGGAGGAAGCCACTACTTCTCGTTTCTTTTTAGACAGAATCTCCTAGACTGGCTATCCTCAGACTCTCCACTGGGGCTGGAGAGATGGCACAATAGATAAGACGCTTCCTGCTCTTCCAGATGGCTTGAGTTTGGTGTCCGCTACCCAAAGCAAGCAACTCACAGTTGCCTGTAACTCCAGCTCCAGGGGATTCGACGCCCCCATCTGGAGCCTGCATGTGCATGTATATGTGCACGTATACAGACCAATAACAATCAAAAACCCATTTTTAACAACAAATAAATGTATTTATTTTACATCTTGACCACAGTTCCCTCTCCCTCCCCTCTCAGCCTTTTCCCCACCTCCCCCGCCTATCCACTCCGCCTCCATTTCTCTTTAGCAAAGGGGAGGCTTCCAGTGGATAGCAACCAGCCCAGGTATATCAAGTTGCAGTAAGACTACGCACATCTTCTCCTACTGGGGCTGGACAAGGCAGCTCAGGAGGGGGAAAGGGTCTCAAAAGCAGGCAAAGAGTCAGAGACAGTCCCTGCTCCCACTGTTAGGAGTCCCCCAAGAAGACCAAGCTGTATAACTAACATATGCAGAGGGCCTAGGTCAGTCCCATCCTTGCTCCCTGGTTGGTGATTCAGTCTCTGTTCTGTGTGTGTGTGTGTGTGTGTGTGTGTGTGTGTGTGTGTGTGTGTGAGAGAGAGAGAGAGAGAGAGAGAATGAGAGAGAGAGCGAGAGAGTTTAAAGAAACATTTTCATTGTTCTGCAGGACATTTGTGACCCATGGCCTTTTCCTTGGATCCTGGGAGCCAACTGTACTTCCTATGCTCATGAACTCGAGGCAAGAGGATTGTGGGAGTGTAGAAGTGAGACCACCTGGGCAACGTAATGAGATCATGTCTGAGAAACTAGAGTGGGAGGCTGTTGAGATGGGTCAGCATTTGCTGCCTTTTCAGATAAAGGATATTTGGTTCTCAGGAGCCACACTGCTGGTGGGAGGGGGCTCACAACCACCTGTAACTCCAGTTTGAGGGCATCTGTTGCCCTCTTCTGGTCTCCACAGGCACTGCAAATACATGATGCACAAACACAGTCAGGCACACACATATTCAAGTAATAAATAAATAAAATATATATATATTTTTTTAAATATTTATTTATTTATTTTATTGATGAGTACACTGTAGCTGTCTTCAGACACACCAGAAGAGGGCATCCAATCTCATTACGGATGGTTGTGAGCCACCATGTAGTTGCTGGGATTTGAACTCAGGACCTCTGGAAGAGCAGTCAGTGCTCTTAACCACTGAGCCATCTCTCCAGCCCCCATAAAATATATTTTTAATAAACAGAGTGGGAGACCACTTGTTCTTAGTTCAATCCTCATTGCTGAAAAAAATAAACAAAAATAACAACAAAGATAGGACTTGTCCCCAGTGCTGAGTTGGCCAGTGACCATGCAGTCCTGACTGGCCTCTGACTCCTCTCTATCTACCTCAGCCCACTGAGTGCTGAGCTCACAGGTGTGAAGCATCACGCTCTGCTTGTAAAAATATTATGCTCGCTAGTCATGATGGTGCATACCTTTAATGCCAGCACTCAGGAGCCAGAGGCAGGCGGATCTCTGAGTTTGAGGCCAGCCTGGTGTATATAGTGAGTTTCAGGCCAGCCAGGGTTACATTGTGTGGCCCTGTCTTTAAAAGCCCAATTTTGTTTATTGTTTTAGAATTATGTATTTTTATTTATATGTCTTTGTGTGCTTGTGTGCATGTGTCTGTGTGTGAGTGTGTGTGTGTGCGTGCATGCATGTGTGTGACATTTATGTGGGTTCTTGTAGAGACCAAAAGTGAGCATCAAACTCCTGGAACTTGAGTTGCAGATTGTGCTGCTGGGAATAGAACCTGGGTCCCCACACAAGAAGAAAATCCTCTGACCACTGTGCTGCCTCTCAGCCCCTCTGCAGTTCTGAGGTAGCCTGGAATGACTTTAGGGCTGGAAAGATAGAGAGAACTCACAGTTTATGTGTACTGGCTGCTCTTCCAGAGGACCTAGGTTCAGTTCCCAGCACACACATGGCAGTTCACAACCATCTGTAATTCCATGTCCAGGGAATCTGACACCCTCTTCTGGCCTCTGCAGGTACCAGACATGCAAATGGTACACAGAAAAGGATGCAGACAAAACACCTCTGCACATTAAAAATTATTTTAAAATAAAAGCCCTGAATCTGTGGTGAATTCTCCCACTCCTCGGTTACAAATCAGAAATTATAGTCCACCACTTAGTGATACAGCTTATTTTTCTTATTCTTTCTATGGCAGCAAAAGGGCAGAGATGGGGGGGGCAGGTGAGAGGAAGAGAAGGAAGAGAAAGAACGGAATGGAAAGGGAGGGAAGGGAGGTGTATTTTATATAGGTTGATTATTAGGCTCAGGGCCTCGCACCTGCTATGAAAGGGCTCTATACAACTGCACGCCAAGAACTTAAGTTTCTTTTAAAAACTGAGATTTATAACTTCATCTTCTCTCTCTCTTCCCCCCCCAACCCAGTGAGGGGTGTGCCCTGGTGTACATGTGGAGGCTGGAGGACAGTTGGCAGAAATCAGCTCTCTTAGTCCACCACATGAAGCCTGGGACTTGAACCCAGGCTTCCAGGCTTGGCTGCAAGCTCCTTTATCCACGGAGATACCGGGCGGTGGTGGCGCACGCCTTTAATCCCAGCACTTGGGAGGCAGAGGCAGGCGAATTTCTGAGTTCGAGGCCAGCCTGGTCTACAGAGTGAGTTCCAGGACAGCCAGGGATACAGAGAAACCCTGTCTCGAAAAACCAAAAAAAAAAAAAAAAAAAAAAATGAATATCCACGGAGATATCTTGCCAGCCCTCTCTGCCACTGCTGTCTTATTCAAGACAGGGTCTCACTGAGTTGCCAGGTTGACCTTGAACTTATTCTATAGCCTAACTTGGCCTTGATTTTGCTCTCCTCCTGCCTCAGCCTCTCCAGTAGCTGGGACTACAGTGTTTCCTCCAGCAGCCAGCTGGGGAGTTCAGCCAACAGCTTCCCAGTCCTGCCCTGCAGAGTTGTCTGCAATGGTGGATTTCAAACTTTCTTTCTTTCTTTCTTTCTTTCTTTCTTTCTTTCTTTCTTTCTTTCTTTCTTTCTTTCTTTTTTCTCTGTCTTTCTTTTTGCTTGTTTGTTTTTTTCCAGACAGGGTTTCTCTGTGTAGCCCTGGTTTCACTCTGTAGACCAGGCTGGCCTCCAACTCAGAGACCCACCAGCCTCCACCTCTCCAGTGTTGGGAATAAAGGTGTGTACTGCCACCACTGCCACCGCCACCCCGCCTGGCTGATTTCAAACTTTCAATGAGATGTCAACTCGATATCCTCAAGTTCTTTCTTTTAAAATTTCTTTTATTTAAAAATTCTTTTTTTTTTTTTTTTTTTTTTTGGTTTTTTTGAAACAGGGTTTCTCTGTGTGTAGCCCTGGCTGTCCTGGAACTCACTCTGTAGACCAGGCTAGCCTCGAACTCTCGAACTCAGAGATCCGCCTGCCTCTGCCTCCCAAGTGCTGGGATTAAAGGCGTGCGCCACCACTGCCCGGCTTAAAAATTCTTTTAGATTTATTTGATGTGTATGAGTGTTTTGCTTGTATGTATGTCTGTGTACTACTGGTGTGCCTGGTATCTGAAGAGGTCAGAACTGGAGTTAAAGAAATGGTGAGCCTCATACGGGTGCTGAGAACCTAACCTAAGTCCTCTGGAAGAGCAGCACCTGCCCTTAACCGCTGAGCCATCTCTCCAAACCCATCTTTTTATTTCATTTTATTTTATGTGTAGGAGTGTTTGATTAGCGTGTATATCTGGACATGCAGTGCCATAGAGGGAGGGAGCAGAAAAGAGTGTCAGGTGCCCTGAAACAGAAGCTGTAGAGAGTTTTTAACTATCATGTGGTTGCTGGAAATGAAAACCAAGTCTTCTAGAAGAGCAGCCAGTGCTCTTAACTGCTGAGCCATCTCTCCAGCTGTCAAATTCTTGAAACATTAACCGTTTTCACCTTGTGCTGCAAGGCATTGTGAAAAAGCAAAGCCCAGGAACACAAGTATGGTCATTTAAAAAATGTGTCGGGTGCTGGAGAGATGGCTCAGTGGTTAAGAGCACTGTCTACTCTTCCAGAGGCCCTGAGTTCAATTCCCAGCAACCACATGGTGGCTCACAACTATCTGCAATGGAATCTATGCCCTCTTCTGGTGTGTCTGAAGACAGTTACTGTGTACTTAAAAATAAATAAATAAATCTTAAAAAAAAAAAGTGCCGGGCAGTGGTGGCGCATGCCTTTAATCCCAGCACTTGGAAGGCAGAGGCAGGTGGATTTCTGAGTTTGAGGCCAGCCTGGTCTACAGAGTGAGTTCCAGGACAGCCAGGGCTGTACAGAGAAACCCTGTCTCGAAAAACCAAATAAATAAATAAATAAATAAATAAATAAATAAATAAACAAATAAAATAAAAAAGTAAAAACTGTGTCTGTGTTCATAATCCATGTGTGTACTGTGGGGGTGGGGCCTGCATGGGTGCAATGCACTTGTGTGTGCTGTGGGTGTCACATCTATGTGACAGATGCATATGTGCTGTGGGGATTGGGGTAGCACAGGTGTGCACAGAGGTCAGAGGACATGGGGCACCCTATGCTATATACATTGTTCTCTTGAGACGGAGGTCTCTCAGGAAACCTGGAGGTAGGCCGACACCAGCAAGCGCCGCATAGCTCTGGTTGTCTCTCCACAGCAATGGGGCCACACCCGGCCTTTTAATGTGGGTGCTGGGAATTTGAACTCAGGTCCTCCTGCTTTTGTAGTGAATGCTCTTACTCACTGAACAGTGTCCTCCTCCTGCTGTGGGTAAAAACTGTGTGTGAATAGGTTGCCCATCCACTGTTCCTTAGGCCAGAGACAGGATCAGTGTGGGTGTTCTCTCTGAGTCCTGGCCACCATTCTTCCCTCCTTCAGAGATGACTTCACTTTCTCATCATGTCTCTGTTTTTCATTAATAGATTTCTAGCATTTTAAAGCCCTGGAGATGAAGCCAGGGCCCCAGGCACATTTGGAAAGGGAATGACACAGAG